ATTTGTTAAATTATATCATGTGATATTTATAGGCTTAAAGAGGGCATCCTTGCAGTATATATGTATTCTTGGCAGGTATAAAATTCTAAACCCAAACTTACATCTCTAAGTACAAGTACCACTACCTTAATGAGATTCATCCTAAATCAATGTTCAAGAGGAGCTTATTAGGGATTCATGTCACTTCAGAACTCACACAACTGAACAAAAATTGCATTCAATTTTGCATGTTAATCGTTTCCAATTCTTTCTTCCATAGTGTTAAAACAGTTTTAGATATATAAAGTCAAAGACTATTTGATGTAAATTGTTACTTTACGAATCAACATTATTTTTAAATTTTAACCTTTAGGAAAACTGACATTAGGTAGAATTAAAACAACTAAAAAATTAAATTTGTAACATTAACATGCGCAATATGACAATTTTAATTATGAATGTCTGAAATAAAACTAAAATAGTTATGAAAAATAAGTCAAGATTTGAGAAATTTGAGACAAGACTAAAATGTCATTTATTATGTATAATGTAGTAACCTTAATTATTTGTTTGCTTTTAGATTTTTAGCATACACGCTTAATATAATGTTTCTGTTCATTCTAGCCTGATTTATATCACAAGAATTAGAGTGTGCCTCTCTCTTTTGTGCTACTAGAATTTGGATCTTGGTATAACATAACAATATTGTTCAGAAAAGAATCACAAATTCAAACATTCGGTAGTATAGCTTTTACGATAAAATATAATAATACATTATTTAAATGCAAGTAAATATACATCATTCATTAGATATGGATAGCACAAATAGATAGGGATTAGTTCTATTTTAAACCAGCTTATCGTGTCTTTGTTGCATAGAAGATCAAGAATTTTCAAACTCATTCAACCAAACTATGAAAATCCCTTAAGCCTCATTATAATTGTTCCTGTGTCTCATCTTTAAAAGCAAAGTTACAGATAAATCTATATATTTTTCCATCTTCCTCCACAGCCTGAATTTCAGAAAGGATGTGTAAATCTTGTTCTAATAGTGCACTTATCAGGTTCCCCAAAATAAACACAGGGCAAAAACAGCCTAATTAATAATGAGTAATTTAGGGCGCCTGTGCTTTAGGTTTGGCAGGCAGGAAGAGTTAAAGCATCAAAGCGCAGGGATCCCTGGAATGAGGAAATGCAAGAGAGAGAAGAAAGGGATGGAGTGAGGAAAGGGAGAATAGAAGCTAGGAGGGAGGGAAACACAAAAAGGCCAGATTGATATATATCTGGGCTTGAGTTCTCAATCTAGTATTAGTTACTATTTTGTGGCCCCAGGCAACTAAATTTTGTTCTTGGTAATTTAGTGTCCTGATTCATTAAACGATGGAAGTATTTTCTAGGGTCTTTCAGATCTAAAATATTGCAACCCTTCCTGAAGGAAACTTTCCTATTTCACAGAAATGAAAAGAAACAGAACATTTCACAGAAGTACTAATAGGTTCTACCTTTAACTACTCAGTGTCTTGTGATTACTCATCGATACATTTCTTATCCTTTGTTACACACAATTTTTAAATACACCTGTTTTATCTAACTGCCCTGGTGAAACAGACACGTACATAATTAGCACAAATTGTAGCACAGAGGAGAGAAGGCTTAACTTTGTGAAGACTCAGATATATGACATTTGTTTTAGACTTTGAAGGATGAATGAAATTCCATCACAGAAAAAGTTAGAAGAAAGGGGTGCCAAGAAGCTAGACAAAATATAAAAAGAGTAAGAGATATTAAAAACACCAGGATTGTTCAAAAGACATAAAAACAGAAGGCAGAATTTGCTAAGGTTAGAAAAGAATAGGACGAGATGTCAATAGAAGCAATGATAAAATTATTGTCAGAGGATTTATAAAGGGGCAATATGAAGCATCAAAAACACACATGTAAATACTCTAAAATGGAGACCCGTAGGAGTGTATGATACTTATCTTTTAAAATGAGGTCTCCACATCCACTCTGACTTCCCTTTTGCTTGCAAATAACAATTTATTGTATTCAATTAGAATCAGGCAAATATGTTTGTTTTTAATAATTTTACATGTATTTTATCTTTAGTTGATTATAACCCTACTTTATGGATAAGACAACTGATTTAAACGTTAGTAAGCCATAGCTACAAAATTCAGATTTAATTCTTCCAATTTTTGCCATCTGCTACAAGATGATGAACATTTATACTGTGCCTACTGCCTCGAGTTTCTGCAATAAAAAATAACAAAGATAGCAAGCCATAAAAACTATCAGAAGCTCTAGATAAACTGATGCTGTTTATCATTTGCCCAAAGTATCTTTGCCAAACAATTGAAGAAATTTTAAGACATAGAAATAAGAATAAAATTTCACACAGTAAGTATATTAAGTTAAAAAAAAATCTAGCCATCATAGTTC